AAATATATGGTCCATAGCAGAATACCCATGTCAAACTCCAGCTTGGGTTTCTGTAAGTTTATCACGTATAGTAGCCCAGTTAGTCAATCTGTTATTTATTCTAATTCAACTTAGTATGTAACACGAGTTCTGATTGGTCAATGCTAATAATTTCCGACCGTATAATCAGCATATACGGTCGCAATTTGAAAACCGATTCAACGAAACCTTTGAATGTATCCCTACACTATTTGGGTAACGCTGTTTCGCAGGACATTGTCATTCGCAGACGCCATTGGTCAATTAACTCCCCTATCCAGCTAAAATGGATGGAATTTGTGTTTAAAAAGACAAAACAGTATCATAAATTTAAGTTCAAACAACTTACTCGCAACGGGCTGTTGACCCAACACTGTTAGATCATGAAACAAGGTTGATGACGTCATTATGGAGCGTGACGTCACCTGCTATGACGTCATTTGACAACAGAACTGATAATGGCCCGTAGTTGAGGAATCAGCGGGCTGCTCATTTATGTAACTAGAGGGCGGTTTCATCATAATACCGTCCATTTTATCGATAATACTATGATCTATTCATCATTGTCAAATTTAGTCTGTGTGCACATTATAAACGTGTGTAGTTTGAAAACGGAACTACTTTCTCTGGCGATGGTGGAAGTTGAAGGAGTGATATGATTAACCTTTGACCTAGAGAAACTTTGACCTGGTTTAAATAATGAATTTCTTTCACGAAAAAACAGCGTAAAACGAGCTGAATTAGAATGGGGATAACTGTACTGTGTTTGACGAATTGGGGACGTATACCGGTGGTTATATAGCCGCAAATTTAGTTATATCGGCGACGCGTAAGCGGAGCCGATATAACGTTAAATTTGCGGCTATATAAGCACCGGTTTTCGTCCCCAATTCGTCAAACACAGTACAGTTATCCCCTATGTATACATGCATATATTTTACTCAATGAACAAAGAAGGTAAATTCCCCTGTACTATCTGGGTTATCCTCATTACCTTTCTTATGTAAGGGGCTGGTAATTGCTTTAGTCCACTGCTCAGGAAATAATGCTGAATCAAACATTCGATTAAATACATTCCCTAAAAATGGAGTAATGAGAGTTTAAGAACATTTCAACATTTCGGCAACAATATGGTCATGACCAGATGATTTACCACTCTTTATATGGGTAATAACATCATGAATTTCTACATCAGTGATTAGCGATTCAAGAATACATTTGTCATTTTCATCTAACGGTTTATCATCATACAGCTTAAAATCTACCTTAAACTGGGTATCTATACTATTAAATACATTCTTAACATGGTTCATCCACATGTCTGGTTCAATGTTTGAGGTACTAACATCTGTACGAGAGAGACTTCTTAATTCCTTCCAAAATCTCGACGAGTTTTTAACATTATCATACAGTAACCTTCTTTTCTTGTTCTGGTAATGATATTTAGACATTTTAGATATATATTTATATTATTTTTCATCTGACAGTACAACTGTCTACTTTCATGACTTTTATTATTTCTAAATCTGCTCAAGTGTTTTCTCGCTTCTTGTTTGGCAATTTTACATTTCATATTATAAAAACCTTTTTGCCGTTGTTCAGCACTAATTCTAACTTTTCTTTTCATACATTCAGCAGCTGAAACAATAGCATTTACAAACATGTCTGTGCTCTCCGTAAGATTACCCTCAACTCTCTTAGATATATCATGTAACGAGGGGTATGATGTATTTATTGAGCTTAAGAATAATGGAGTCATATTCTCATACCACTTATATGTAAAATTGGTGCTACATTCTGCATTTTGCGTTTACTTAGTTACAGGATCTGACAATGTTGTAGATTTAAAACAAAGGATTACAGGCATTTGCTTTGATTCGACCCTACAGTCGACAAGTAAGTCATGAGACAGATAAAACAAGTAGTCCACAACACTACATCCTTGTTGTGATTTATAGGTCCACCCAGCTGTGAATGGGTACCTCGTTAGGATGAGAAAGCCACAATAACTCGGTGCGCCTAGTGGCAGCAAGAGTTGTATACTCCCCAGGGAGTTGAGATTACTAATACGATGTGCAGTTGATATTGACATCCAATGATCGAGGGAAAAAAATACCAGCGCCTTAAACATGCACTAGTGCGTTGATATGTGCGCTATATAAATATCCTATAATAAATAATATAGGTGAAGTCTCCCTTGCTATCACCCGGAGTTCTACCGTTAAACATGTGCAAGTTATGCAAGAAACAAAAATCAAGCAGTTTGCGACCAAATGTATTCACACAATTATCACAAGATTGTCTTTTATTCACTGGAACTGAGGTTTCCTCAGTTAATGCTGCTTCGTCTGGTCCTTTGTTCAGTTCTCTGGCGGGTTATTATTTACGTCCCCACCTATGACGACGTCACACCCGTGATCTGCGTTATCTATCAACCACTGATCTAAATGCTTGATAGAAGTCATCTTGTCAGCTGCCACATAAAATGTTGAGCCAATGGGCGGGACATAGGTAGCAAGAATAAGTATATCTTTATCATTACCAATGCTAGTTTGGTCTAACTTTATGCAGACAACATTATCTATATCAACTGTTATCTGTTGTCTATTGTACGATAGAGTGTGTTTTATTACGACAATCACTCCACCAGATAATCTTTCAACCTGAGCTAGCCTACAAGCTTTTGACATATGCAAATGTATGCAATTGCTAAAACAATCCAGTGGAACTTTCGAGAATCATATGGTGAAGCCAGTTTCCTTATCACGTTTGGTGCACTGCATATTGAAATAATGGGGTTTAGGATCCTTTGAGACTGGTTTGAAGGAAATGGATGGACAACTGCAATTTGCGTAGCTGGGTTTGCCTCAAGCTAGAACAAGACCTGCCCATCAGATCACAGCCGTTACACTATTCCTTCTACAACACAAGGCATATGCTCACTATCAGGAAACAGAACCAAACAAAGAAGACCTTTTGACTTTTAGAAGTCGGTGTGATGCAAACTCAGCTTCTCAAACCCAGTTTCAGTATTGGTCCCTTGTTCTTGAGCTTGAACTTTGCACACTGTCCCTGGGGAGTATACAACTCTTGCTGCCATTAGGCGAACCGAGTTATTGTGGCTTTCTCATCCTAACGAGGTACCCATTCACAGCTGGGTGGACTGGGACACATAGTCACAGTACTTTGTCCAACTTCACTGCACGTTGCTGTACCTGCAACGGGAACTAGTCAAAAGGGCCGAAGGACAAAAGGGCCGAGAAGTGCCTAGTCAAAAGGGCCGATGGAAAAAGTCAAAAGGGCCGTGACAAAAAGTCAAAAGTGCCTAGGTGAAAGTCAAATGGGCCGAACAGAAAAAAAGTTTAGAAAGGTTTTACATTATGTATTGACACATATAGCATAATATCAGCATAACATTAATAAAGCATGTAGCCAAGTTTTCATGTAATTGCAATACATATATTTAATCAACACAAGTTCACATAAGTAACAAAAATAATAGTTTGGCAATTTTCACAAGTTCATTCGTTCGTAATTTACACAAGTTCATTCATTCATAATTCACACAAGTTCATTCGTACATAATTCACACAACTTCATAATTTCATAATTCACACAACTTCATTTGTTCATAAATCACACAACTTCATAATTTCATAATTCACACAACTTCATAATTGACACACTGTTCATTCGTTCATTCAGCACCCTTGGGGCATACACTCTGGAACACATTGTCAGTAGCGCAGTTTGGCTGAGCTGTAGCTCTTTGTACAGCCGCCAAGCAGCAAGGATTTCAGCCTGGTCAACAGACGCCGACTTCTTCACAAATCTCCATCACGGAGGAGCTGGGCGTGGAGTGGCAGGAGACTGGCTTCTTTATGGAGAGCTGGAATCAGCTTGTACAGTCCCAGTTGTTGATCAGATGTCCGCACAGTCATCCGGCGACGGCAACGTAAAATTTAAAAATAGTTGTTACATAATATATATTGTTGTGTTAAATATTATCCATTTTGACATTTAAATATTGAATTTAATCATTTTTCGATTGAATGACTAACTATACATACCTTCAACATTGTTGTTGGTGCGGACTGACTGGTTGAATACACGCCAACTGACCACTGTGAAGATGGAGTGACTCATCCACTGTCGCTCCATGTAGTCACAGAGATCAACCAGCTTCTGTGACGACGGTCTCATCTTCAGCTGACGGAAGACAGGTCTGATGTGTGCCACTGGTAGAAAGGCCAAAGCCATCAGCTTCCTGATGAATTTGTGAACTGCATTGTTCTCGCGATACGCTCTCTGGAAAAGAAAAAAGGTATATGAAATATGATTATGACAAGAATAGGACCAGAAGATGACTTTGAAAAATGTGGCGAAATGAATATGATGCTTATACGAATGAATGAATGTGTTACCCGAAGTCCAAGTTCCTGGCAATGTCGTCAGATGGCTTGTGTAAGATGGAAAACACAGCCGCGTAGCTTGACATCGGGGAGGAGTCGATCAAATGCCTTCCATGTGGCAGCTTCGAAATCCATCATAATGTATCGGACTTGGGGTGGACGGGGTAGGACGTGCAACATCTTTCGTATGACTTTTCCATAGTCGATGGTCCTGCGACGCTACATGAGGATAAAGCAGAGAGGCATCATCTTCATCGGCAGAGTGGCCTTCAGATATCCATGTACAGAGAGTAGTTGATAAAAGGGATTTTAAACTATTTTAAATGTCCCATCCACAAACCACTGCTGTGACATGGATAACTGAGCCAATTGCCGGTCAGTAGCAAAGAAGAGATGCCTCTCTCCCTTCACCCTGACATCAGCACGCAGGAACCCTTCAGGCAGGAAGCTCTCGACAAGCTGCAATCCATATAATAAATATATTATACCCTATTACAATTACTTTGTTGTGTTATTTAATTTCATGTTATGTTATTTACAAATAATGAAACTTAACACGAGTCAAAAAGATTACCTCAGATTCTTTGGCCGAAGGTTTTCTCTACACCTGTTGGCGATACGAGCCAAATATTCAGGGTTGTCTCTGCTCCCGGATGGCAGTATTGGATCTACCATATCGCTGGTGACATCCTCAGCTATTGACCTGGCAGACTTAAACAGGTCTTGCGTTGCAGTCCTCTTCACCTATAACAACAAGGTTGATTGATCCAATTAAGATTCAATTCAATTCGTTAAAATCTACCAATTAACAATTAAGGATGTTCAATTGACAATTCAACTAATCCTAATTAGGAATCAATCAATAGAAAGTACTACTCACCTGAGCTCTTACTTGGACTGAAACAATTTTGCCTGCCTCTGCTGTGTGGCTGTGGTTATGTTTGCCTGGCGCACTGTCTCCTGTTGATTTGGTCTCGACAACAGTTGCCTTACAGGGACGTTTGCTACATCTGTAGTAAATCTTATTCTGAGTGACCTGCTGAAAGATGTAATAATATAACGTTAATATAACGTCAAAAACAATAACATTAAATATAGAAATATCCAGGTATAGTATGGTTGATATAATAGGATTAAGATGTAACAATACCTTTATTACGTAGGTGAATACATTCCTGTCTACCAGCTTGGGTTTTGATTTCTGTGAGCCGTCCAATACCAACGTGTATGGAGGATCTTCAACCTCCCGCTCCTCCGCAAGAATATCCTACTCCATTGATCTGTTATGTCAATAAAAATTTGTGTTATTAAAATACATAAACTTGAAAATATTTAATATATGTAATTGTTTGATCGGCATTAAGTTATATGTTATACATTATGATGTTAAATATACTTACACTTCCTGAACTTCAAGAGTGTCTTCGAAAGCAACTGTTAGAGCATCTATTGAAGAATCCAACAGGAGAGTGAAGTTGGGAATACTTGTCTTGCATAAATGACACAAGAAATTAAGCTTCTCCACTTCTGCATAAGTCTAGGTTGCCGTCACGAGTCATCCCTGTGCCACAAATCCTGTGTGTACATGACTGACATTGATCACACTCTAAGGCATGCTGATTTCTTCTTACAGTCTTAGAGCACTGCGCACACTGGACAGCCATGGTTAGTGTTGTGAATGTTGTATGTTGGGAAGCAGGTTATATACCATATTGTCAATTGAAGTGAGTTCAACAACAAAAACAAACATCCCACACGGATTAGTCATGACACTGAGTCTCATGTTCAAATTCCATTGAAAATAACAAAAACAACAAACTAAACACTATTCATACTATTTTACTACGTAATTGATTACATTATTATTTATAAAATTTTATTTTATTTTCGGCCCTTTTTCGGCCCATTTGACTTTTAGCCTCGGCCCTTTTGACGACAACCCCCTGCAACTAGGTTGAGATTAGCTCATAAAACTAAAAGACCATGGCACTATATCAGACTCATGAACAAGTCAATGATCACATGAAAGTAGATGGGGGTGCAGTTGGATTGACAGAAAACCCATGAGGATGGGTGATTGCAAGAATTCAGCTCAATATGAGAGTTGAGTAAAAGAAAGGTTCATTGGCAGATCAAAACCAATAGAGCAACAATTACAGAGAACAAGTTGCTACTGTTTTCAAGACGGAAGACTCCTGTTCCTATGAAGACGAGGAGGATGACTGTGCTCTGCTTACCAGGCTGTACATTACGTAATTGTTTGATCGGCATTCTAGAGGTAGTTGAGTCAAAACTTTAGCTCGATAGCTTAAGAGAAGGAAAATCAACCATGGCCTCCTTTATTTTCCAAGAAGGGTGAAATTAGATCTCGTAGCAAAGCAGACCTTCAAGTACAACTTGAACATCTACAAGCGGAGGCACCAGATGCTACTAAAGAAGTTTCTGTAGTGATACTTGACAGCGGCATGATTGTGCAGATGCTTCACCCAAGAACATCCATAATATTTCAAGACTATATCCAAAATGTATTTCTACCATACGTGTTCCAGTATCTTGAATACCAGGACAGACTGGACATTGTTTGGGACACCTGAAGCATTCAGCAGAGAAAAATGTGACAAGGGTCTAAGAAGAATAGTCAAAGCATCGTCACTTGTGCAAAGTAACTGGCAAAGCTTCTTGCCAGTTTTGTACATGGTGGCCTTGCATTGCACATGTCTGCTGCTTCATATGGTGGGCACAAAATGCTGCTGATTAGGACTGCCGACACAGATGTCCTTGTCATGATAACAAACATCCAGCAGATACCTGTTGAGTATGGATATAATTTGGCGTAGGCAAGCACAGCATATATATATATATATATATAGATGCACATGAAATTGGAACTACCCTCTTTCCATTGAAAGAGGCATTGTCAGTATTGCATGCCTTCACAAATTGCGATGTAACTTCATTTTTTTGGCGGGATCGGGAAGAAAAGTGCTTGGGATACTAAGTCTTGTGATGTATATGCGAACGTCACCAAGCAATCTTGTCACCAGCAGATGCCCCAGCAATATATCTGACAACACAATGCGGCTCCTTGAGCGGTTTGTCACTCCTATGTATGACTTGGAACGTCAGTCAGATAAAAAGCCAGACAGCATATCTTTTCAAGAGAGACACAGGCAGCCCTAAAAAAACACGCAATTCGTGAAGTATTACAGGAAGGTCAGGTACATCTCTGCTACATCTTGCTGACTGGGGACACAAGTAGGCATATACCATAGTGGACAACTCTAGGTCAGGCACAAGATCAGTGTTATGAACTGACACACTGTACCTGTACGAAGTCTTGCACAGGCCTTTGTCAGTGTTACAAAGCTGGTCTAAAGTGCACTGCTGTGTGCCACTGTGGAGGAAAGGATTTCCAGTAAATGAATAATGGAACTGTAGAAAGATGAATTGAACTGATATTGATGGCCATATCTTAAACAAAGTAAGGTGGTTTCATAAGTTCAGCTTCAGGGACATAATGTTAACATTATTTACAACGTACTTTCCAGATTGTAAGAAAAGAAACTATTTCTCCCTTATTGAGGACATTCCATCACAAGAATATATATGCATGTACACCTTTTTTGCGATGTGATGATGGGTTAATAATGCAACAGAATCGTTTACTTGTAAGTAGGTACTGAAAGGTATCTGCATTACATTGTTCTATGAAACTTTGCATTTGTAAAATACTAGCCGGAATACTTCTTACATCATGAAGCATAATACCAACAGATCATACACAAGAGAGCAAATAGATCCATTAATCTATTGCTAATTAAAATGTCTTTTCCACAATATTAGCTTTATCTAATTATCATCAAATTATCCAAAGCCAAAATGTATTAACTTAGAAATAATAACAAGGCAATTTCCGAAAATTAAGTAACTTTGGTGGCCATCTTGGATTTTCATCACCACCGGGTGGCGCTGCATAATAAATTGGGAATTTGTACATCACTGTTCCCATTAACGCTTAATGAAATACTGAATATGACAAGGTAATTATGATATACTGAGCATCAATTGCATTTTAGTCAAATTGACGGCAATCTTGGATTTTCTGCCACCAGGGGGCACTGCTGAGGTGGATCCATATCCAGAAATGGTCGGAATGGTTCAACATATAAGTATGCCATGTTTGGTGCTTTTAACCAAAAATGCACAATTTTTGCATTACCCACCCCACTATATCTAACTGGAACAATTTAATATCAAATGTAAACGCCATTGTATAGAAAGTCTCCATTTTCAAACACAACAGATTTCAGTGCGTGTTTATAAAATCTACGAAGACTAACTTTATGTACTAGAAACAAAGCATGGAAAAAATTGCATACGAATACTCTCAAGAAAACGTAATGGTCTTGTTCCTTTGTAATTTTTAAGTATGTTTATTTGTGTGCTTTTCACACATCAGTGAACAAAATATCATATGAAATACCTTTGCATCTTGAACTGTTCAATATAAAATGTCAACGGTTGCAAACAGTTATTCCCCATTTTCAAACAAAACAGATTCCATTTCGCTGGAAAATGGATTACTCAAAATTGGTGAAAACACGTTGAAAGCAAAAGCATGAAATGATGATCATGGTAGTTTAAGCGTTAATCTTATAGATGGATATCTTGAAGTGTCCTCCACACATCAAGCTCCTGTCGCCTGAACAAGCAACATTGCATTCCTTTTCTGGCATCTTGTTGTAGGAAGATTTGATGACATCACTGCAGTAGCATTCAGCCCCGATCTGTAATCAGAAAAAGTAAGCATCACAAACCAAGGCTTACCACAACCAACCTGATGCATCATTGTATTTGGCTGAATACATTTTCAACCCAAACACTTCTGAAGTCCGGTTACACGTATTGTCATTAACCTGCTACATTCTAGAACACAATAGCAAGTTTCCTGACAGTAATTGTCATATATGCATCTTAAAACTAATATAAAAGGATGCCAGTGAGTAGTATAATAGTAATAATAATAATAATATTATATCCATTCTAGAGCGCATAAAATGATCAGACGAAAGCTTTTAGGAAACTTAAAAAAGCTTGACAGAAACACTTAAACAGATTTGATTTAAGTAAAGAATAGAGACATGGTCAGATTGCTTCAGATTGACTGGATATGTGTTCCATTTTATGATTGCTGCAACACTGAAAGATCCGTGCCCAAAAGATTAAGATTTCCAGGCAGGAACATGAGCCCTCATCTTTAGGACAGTGTTGGCATGCTATTCAGCTTTTTTTCCCTGTAATTGACTGAATCAATGAATGTAATATGTATCCAAAAGCCATTCACAAACGCCGATCAAAGTTATGGAACATGATACATACAATAAAAGTTAAAGGCTCCAGATCTATCATTTGCATCTTAAAGACACTAGTTATTAACCAATATTGCAAATTGCAAATAAACTTCGTGAAAATTTGGCCTTACATTCTAATTAATGTAATTGTACGTCTCAATTTTTAAAACAATCAAAGACAACAAGAAAAGAAACTCAATTATTCCAGTTCAGATAATGGGGAACATTACAATGAAATATTATCTATTCATTAGCTCCATGTCGTGTTAATACTAGGCAATCGGTTCAATACATGCTGGACAATGATATTGATAAACCATGTCAAAGTGACTCGAATTCACCTTTTCTCTGGTGCTGAAGAGGGATGGAAGTTATAGATGCTGTACCGATGTGAACCGTGTGAATGCTGTTTCTAGAACTGACTCTTACCCAATACCAAGAATCAATGACTGCATCAACAGAATCAGTCAAGACAAGTAGGTCAGCAAGTTTGCTTTAAAGAAGGGATATTGGCAGATTCAAGTGACAGATGTGCCAAGCAAGTTACAGCTTTTCTGACTCCAGATGAGCTTTACCAATGCAAAGTTATGCCCAGCCACCTTCCATAAATGGCACTACCTGCAATCCACTACACCAGTGAAACCATCACACATTCCGCTGAATGCAAGGCTCAACAGAAAATGATTCACGCCTTCTTTGAGTCCAAGCTGACTGTGAATTTAGCTAAATATCAATTTACACAGGCACGTGAAAATGTATTGGTCATGCCATTGACAACAAACGTTGAACCTACTGTAAAATTCCCAATTCACCAAAACAAAAAAAGGAATTTTTTCACTTGTACAAAAGACTGAAATTTGTTTTGGACAACTTTTCCGAATCTTACAGTCATTGTTTTGCATTCTTCTCTCTCCAAGCACAACATTTTGAAAAATCTTTTAAACGGTTTAGATGCCAGTTACCATAGTGCTGTAGCTGTCCTGTTGTGGGTAAAGGCCTTTTAGCGTGTTTATCTTAGGCATATAATGGGGGTGTCAAGTTACCAGAAACCCAACATTGTGTGTGACCATTATTACACCATGCCAGGCATATTTTGCCAGTTGAATTACTGTTGCTGAGGGGTGAAGGCTACAATTTGCCATAGTAGTTCCTTTGTACCAATTGGTATTGATTTGTGAAGAGTAAATTGTAGAATACAATTATTAATCACTGCGCATTTCTTTTGTTATTTATTGGTTCTCAGCTAGTTTTTTTACAGACCAAATCAAAATTCAACTTGAAACTCAACACATAACTCAGAATGTCAGAACATC